TTGGCCTTGTAATACATAGAAGAATCAGGAACTGGCAAGCAAGTAAAATAACTGTATATTATCACCTCTTTTTTTCGTTCGATTTAACCGACCATAGATTTTCAGTTTTTTTTTCCCTATGAAAATTTTCATGCAGACCGACTAAATGCAACCGAACAGACAGGCACAAACACAGTAAGAAGTGTCTACGTGACCAAAAACATTGCATACAAACATACCAAATACATACAGTTTTCATGTTTATGTACGTTTGATTCGTATGCCCGCGTTTGAAGAGATTTGTGTTATGTACACTGTTAGAAGTGTGCACTCAGTTAATATTCCTTTCCGCCCTGGTGCTCAATGTTGAGAATCTCACCATTCCGTTAACAAAATATATACATTTTGATTAATATTTTCAATTTGTTTAGTTGAATTTAATGCTGAATTTATTATGTTAAAGCCAAATGCTAAAATTACTTAATTACTTAATAATTATGCAGGTAGTTAGGTGCGTGCGTATGTATATGTTTACTGATTGCACAAAATTTATTCAGTTTTTTGTTTACTGCTGCTCAATTCACTTTTGCATGAGAACGAGAATCGAAATTTGTTGTTGTTGCTGTGATAACAAAATTTTGTGATTTTGTGATTTTGTTTTCGACTCTCCTTCTCACACATATTTAATGCTGAATGCTGATATCAAAATCAAAATTCGACATTAAATACATTTATTTGGAAAACAAAAAGACTTTGTAACGCAATATTTTCCTTAATTAAATGTCAAATTTTGAAGAAGATTTTCGATTTTTGGTTTTTGGATTTAACATAACAAAAGGAAAATATTTTATATTTTAAAATTTAAAGCATAAATAAGTTAAAAAAATATACATACGAAGGGCTAGAACAGCATGAAACGGAAGATTGGTGTACACAACTCAGTATCTCAGAATTTGTGGCACTCACGCAAACAAACACATGTCAGTTTTATTTTGTTGTTTTTATTTCCAGTCTCTTCGTTTTAAACAGACGAAACGGCGAATTAGTGCAGTTTCTAAATTTCTAAATAATTATGAATTGATGTTATTTTTCAAATTAATTTTGTTTGACTAATTTAGTTTTGTTACGTTCAGTTAATAATTTTAATAGAACTTCACTCTTTTATTATCACAATCAGAATTTTGATTTTTTTTTACCTAAATTAGTTTGTTATTTATACCCGATATTTTGATTTTATTATGTTTTATACTTGTTATATACTGTATTTTATTTCTATGAACTTATATACTAATTGCATTTATTTTCTATATATATATATATGTATATAAATTAAAAAGTCACTATTTGGCAGTGAATATAAAAATGGCGGAAAACTATCCGCACTACGGCAGCACACGCAACACGGCAGAAGGAGCTAAACGAACTGAAAAGATGAGAATATAAAATCTCTAGTGTGTACTATTTGTGTACAGCCAAGATTTTATATACACAAAAATACATGGTTACCATTCTTGTGTAACAAACTAATTTTTACAATGTATTGTGCATTACACATTCACTACACAAAATTAAAATATAATTATGCTGGTTTCAACCGAAAGTTTTATTTGTAATTTTAGCTGTCAAAAATGTTCGTTTTGCATTGAAAGCAACAACAATTGAAAGCTAAAATTACAAACAAAACTCCCATGTAAATCACAGGAATACATATTTTTTAACAACGAATGTCTGTAAGATCTTAAACACAATTCAAGAAAAAAAAAGTTGAAAAATATTAAGTATATGATTTTAAGAAAAAAAAAGTGCGATAAATGTAAAAGCTATTGATATGTGATTTGTAGTATGAATATATAAAATAATTTCTAGCACTTTTACAGAAAAATCTGTATCTTTTGTTTGTTTACATTTAAAGTGTGAACAGATGATATTATTAGTCTTATGTTAATAACAAAAATTTATTAATTCATCATTCAAATGCATCATATTTGATATATCAACTCATTTATATATTTTTATATATCAATTATTTATTTTATTTATAAAAAAAAAACAAATATTTTGAAAAATTCTTATATATTGTTTGTTTGTTATATATTGGAAATATATCAAAATCTCCATTATTTCCTTTTTGGGAATATATATTTAGCAATGTTGAAAAAAAAACAAACACGGAAAACACGGTCCTTGAATACAAAATCATCTGAGGAGAAGTAGTACTGGTTACGGTAACTAATTATTTATTTATTTAAATTTATTTTCTTTTCTTTTAATATTTATTTTTCACTTTGTATAGTTAATCAAATTTCATTAACGACTTTAAGCAAATAAAGTGGTCAGTTTATAAAGGGTCAATATTAAATTTTTCAAACTCTCCACGTCTTGTTAACATTAATAGTATAATTAAAAACTTTTGTAATAGAATAACATTATAAAACAATAAAAATAAGTACTATTTTGGTAACACTTTTCGCAAGTTGAGATCTGGAAAGTTGCTCTATTTTTTTTTATTGACAACAAATGACTCTACGACTGTAAACACTAAACAATTAAAGAAAAAAATTACGATTTGTACAGATTTTTTTCTATAGTTTGTGATTTAAATTAGTCACATATTATTGATCACATAACTAATAAAATAACACAACTAATTTTGCTGTTCATATTATATTAATTACCAATTCTAATAAACGTAAAAATAGAATAATTTTAAATATATTAAAAATTAATATTATTAACTTTTTATTAAATAATATATTTTGATTTATATGTTCTGGATTAATATTTATACAGAAAAAGTTGTATTTTATGATTATTTAAGAAAATCCAAAATAATTTTTAGAAATAAATTGCAGTATAAAAACTAATTTAAATTGAACACACAATTTTTTAATAAATATAATGAATACTATTTACACTTACAACCATAGAACTTCAATACCACAGTTTTGTACAGATTTTATATGCAAAACAGTATTCACTTAAAGTTATCAAGTTTATTGCATAAATTTATTACATAACTCTATCGACTATTTGACTATATTTAATATAGAAATATATACTTATATATATTATTTATATATATTATTTTCGAATTTATTTAAATCCATTGACGAGTTTTTTATACTTTCTCATAAACTTTTTAAGAAAAATTAATATATTTTAGCCAAAGTAATGTATTTATTATATATATTCTCTATTTTTAAATTGTGTAATCAATTTTTATGGTTGGCAGCCCTAAATTGCATTTTTATAATGTTACCAACTTTACTAAAGAAATTGTTTATTAAGGAGAGTTTTTTCCTTTTTTATTGTTGAATATCTTAGAAAACCTAAAAGTTAGTATATTAGCAAGTTTTAATATTAGAAATCATTTCGGGAAATTTTTTATATAATATTAATTTGAATTAATCCATAACATTCAAAAATGTGCTAGGGGATGCAAAGTATTTCAACGGAAATTTCAATTGAGCGCGTAATAGTTTTTGTAGAAAAAGTTAAATGTATATTCAAATTTATCTATATTGCTGTATATAATATTATTTAATAAATTTTTATATGTATTGATTTATAACTATTTTTTAAGAGATTTAAAAAATTTACTAACTAAAATTTATGTAAGGAAATATATTTATTGAAAGAAAAATAATAATAATTAACCATATATGTGCTAATTTAATAATAACAATTTAATTTAAGCCAAATTTTTCACATTTTACGAATAAATACAGTTAATTCAATAATTTCACAGAGGCAGAGTGTCTAAAATTTTGAATGAACTCTAAAAAAAATTTTTACTCTAAATACACATTTTTCAAGATTCGATTAACTTCGGAGTCATGATTTCGAATAATGAAACTATAAATTTTCTTCCTATTTAATTCTAATTAAAAACGTAGGTTTCTATGTAAGAATTCAGAATTTTAATTTGTAATTTGTGGTTATAAGAATTTCAAACTAAATTCTCCCAACTCTCCACACCTTTTTAACATTAATATTGGAGTAAACTGATTTTGTAATAGATTGACATTTATAAAACGGTTTTATATCTTTTCGAACGTACCATTTATGTTAAAGTTATAATTTAACTGATCTGAGTTATATTTTTACATAATTTCGTTTAATATAAAGCTTAGAAGTGAAAAAAATTAAAAGTTGTAACACAGAATCACCTTTCAAAATATTTGATCGAAAGTGATAAGCCGAATCGATACGCATATTCCTATAAATTGTATATTGAAAATTCGTGGAATATATAAAAATTATAATTGCAGCAATATATTTTTATTAAATCGGAATTAATGCAATGCAAAGTAATTGTAACTTTAGTATTAAAAGAAAACTTTACATATAAATTTAACTATTACTAACAATTTTTGACAATTTTTTATATTTCATTAAAAAAACCACAAACACACGATTTTGTTCGCTAAAAGATTAAATCCTAAAGAAATGGCCCTCAAATTGTGCTGGGCAATGCACTCAGTACTTCACAATACAATACTCAGTGCTGTATGAGTAATTTAAGATATTTATTTTTAAATTCAGTAAAATAAAGATAGTTTTCTATTTTATTTAGGCACGCGGCAGAAGAAGTTTGAGTCCTTTAAGTTATGTTATAAAAAAAACTGTTAGTGTATTTAGTTGGTAATAAAGAAACTAGAGGCCCTGGGCTTCACAAGTAGAGAAGGACAGCAGTAAGTAAGTAAGTAAAGAAACTCAATTGAATGGATAATAAACTTATTTAAATAGTTTAATAATTACAACACTTTAAGTCAAACAATAATGGCACAATTCAAAACTTTGCTAACAAGTCAAAAATTAATTAATTGCTATTTCTTGCTTGCCACCAAACAGTTTACTCATATGTTTCTATTGACAATAATACTTAAAAAAAGCTAAACACAATATTTTGCGTTTTCTGAATATTATTTTTTGAGTTTTCTGGAAAATGCAAAATTTAAAATGAAGACTTTTCCAGTAATTGTAAGGAATTTAAATATAAAGAATCGAAATAAACTTACCATTTATAAGCATTAAAATGAAAGTACACCATTCCTAATCCGTAAAGAAAATTTGTGTCTTTCCAGTTTTTCGGATACAATTCAAAGTACTTTTGATATGCGGAGAGTGCTAAAAAAAATATAAACACTTTTTAATGAATGTTATTTTAAAGTGTTGTTTTGTTACCTTCATCATATTCTTCTAGCAGTATGTGTAAGTGCCCAAGTTTGCAGTACGTTTTTGGATCCACACTCAACTCTTCTTCCGTTCCATTTTCATTGAGAATATTATTTTTGTTGATTTCTTCGACTTCCTTATCTTCCTGTTCTTTTTTAACATCTTGTTCAGTTTCAGTGAGAGCAGTGGCGGTTGCCGAACCAGACCCAGTTATATTTTCCTTTTTAGAATCTTCATCTAATAATTCAATCTTTATTTCGACTTTCGGTGAGGATGCTTCCGTAGGGTCAATATGAATAGTTTCCGATTTTTCCGCTCGAACCTTTTTTTCCTCTTCGCGATGCCGCGCTGTCAATATGATGCCTTGAAGAATTTTAACGGCACGTTGTATCAGTGTTCGAACATGCGAGTTTTCCGGAAGCGACAGATTTAAAAAACCATATTGACGACTTAAATGCACAGCCAAAAAGCATAAATTGAACATACGTAAGAATCAAAAAGGAATTAAAACAGTTATTAGAGTTATAAGCAAATGTCAAAATTAGTTAAAGCTAATATGGAAGGCACTTAAGAATTACCTGTCCAAGTCAGTGATTAATTGAATTTCCTCCAAAGTGAGGTCATCTTCTATTTCTAGATTCATCTCAATTTTTTTTGCATTAAACTTAAAATATTAAATATAATTTATTTATTTTTGAGTCAAACGTGTAAATCCAACAAAAAATTACTTGACTTATAAACAGTCTTCTTAGCGTTGCCAGATATTTTTTAAGAGCAAATGCGATACCATTTGACGTAATCTTCTGTTAAGTGGCAACACTTTAAATGCGATCAAATGCTTGGTTTGATGCATGACAAAATACTTATATGTGAAACTTTGATATTGGATTTGTTCTTACATTTTATTGAGAATATTAAGAATCAACTTAAATTGAAAAATGCTTAAAACAAAAATATAATAATTATTAAAATAATTTATTCGCAAATTTAAGTTCTAAAACGACTAATACAAATAACAAAGAATAAATTTTTCACAATTTATTGAAAATATTGCATGTATTTATAAAAATCATTCACAATAGAGGTTTATAGTTTTGCCAACCCTACGTGATGAATTAAGTTAATTAAAACATTTTCGATCATATTTGTGGAAAACTGCAGGCATTGGTTTCCTGTAATCTGCTTTTAAAATATATTTTATAAAATAAAAAATTATGCAGATAACCCCTGAAGCGTGCGATTAAAAGGTTCCATGTTCTCCAAAATCGTTAGTTCAAGGCTACCATAAAGGGGACTCCATCTAAAATTCATTATTTTTTTAATATTTTTATTTTTAAAAAATACTTGAGCATCGCATCGCTGGAAGCTCTATAATCCGGAAAAAAGTATTCATATTCTTCAAATATTCTTCGTTGGTTACTTGCATGATTATGACTAAATTACTAAATAGTTTCTCAAGAAAGTACTTGCAACTTTTAATGCTTATGTAGCATTAAATTATGCACACAATTTTATAAGAAATCAGTCACTGTGCATATAATGTGACTGCTATATTCATACGGTAATATAAGCTTTGGATAGAATATAAAATCTTGACATATTGAAATTCGAAGTTTGCAAACTTTAATATCAACACTGAAAAAACGACAGGTGTTAATCGCTGTTTGTGTAATAAATTTATTAAGTTTATATCCCACCTAGTGCATAAAATTCCAAATATTTAATTTATATGGGTGCTTAAGCCATATATGCTTAAGCGAATTTGGTTATGTTATTGCAACGAATTTTCAAGACACGTCATCGCCCCAAAGTTCGTTGCAAAAAGTTACACTTTTATCGTAAAAACCGTGGTTTCACTTTTTTTTGCAAAGATTTAAGGTTAGGTTTTGGCATCTAAGACTAAATGTAGGATGACTGAATAAGGTTTATTTTTACCAATTTTTTATTTACCTAATGTATTTAATTTCTTGTGTGATATCTCAGCTTAATTTACACCAGATATCTTAAAGCTCTACTTAAACCTATTGGTCCATTGCGTTACTGTAGTGTGATGCGTTATTTTGAATATTTATTTTATTTACCTATTATTAATCTATTGCTTACCTATTTATAGCAATTTCTACAATTTATATGTGCCAGTGCAAACGAAAACAAAACTTGAAATACTTGCCTTTGGATAAAACTGCGAATCGTCGTTTCAGAATAGAACCTAATCGCAGTATTTTGTTTATGTAGTGAAACTATATATATATTTGCGTGCACACACAGTATGATGATTCTTGATTGTGAAGTAGTCACCGAAATAAAAGCAATTCAACAATTTTTAACATCTGGCAGCATTTAAACACACTGACAACTAATACCTCTTTTACATTCTTTGATGAACTTGTCCAATGCAGGGACACTGATTGACAAATATTCTATTGTTGAAATGTCACTTAACATTCCTTGGATGCATATACATATGCACTCATCCATAATATTTCAAATATCAAAAAGTTTGATCTAATTTGAATAGTAGCAATAGCAATCACTTGAAATGATTTGAATATTTCTATGGAAAAGTCAAAATACATACACTTGTGAACAATACGAAAACTGCATCTTATCTTATACACACAGATAAGAATAGGTTCGACATATCCTTTAAAATAGTCCGAAGGTCGGTCCTGTTGGCTGGTTAAACTGCATCATATATAGATAACTTTTACTTTCGTTTATAAATAATAACTCATATAGTTTTTAAAATAGGACTGCTTTACATAAATTGCGTTTCACCCAATAATTAACAGACTCATCAATATGTTAAAGTCGATATTAAATTGGTTCATATTTTGATTCAATGTGGAGTATATACGAAAAACAAAGAAAATGTAATTTAAGAAATTCTGGTTGGCAATGCGACTTTTTCATACAATGCGACGCAGTAAAACACAAAACAAGCAAAATATATGAAAATATAGAGTCGAAAATAAAAAAATAGAACATTTTATTTAAAAATAAACATATAATGAATCAATATGTGGTGCAAATCATTTTTTATTATTTTTTATTGTTCCAGTAAACAATAGCTGCGTTTCAACAAACGTGATACGGTCAATTTACATGCAAAACAATAACAATGCGATGAACCAGCATTAAACTGGTTCACATTTTGGTTCAATGTGGAATATATGTACAAAATTAAAGATGAACGTATTTATTGCAAAATATCGTTGGCAACGCAATTTTAACATATGATACGGTGTATTAAAAATTTATAAACATGAAGTTTGGCGGCAAAAAGTTGAGCTTTATTTTTATTTTTAAAATTTATGACTATTCTTCAAATTTGAATTATAGTGAGAGGCGCAATTGGGCGAGAGAAGAAACTAGAGCATTGTTGCTTTTTTTTCTACCATTTTCTACCATACCATTTATTTATAAGTTAAGTTTTGAAGTAAATAAGAACTTACATCTAATTGTTCAAATATTTCAGCAGATTTTAATAGTGTTAAATTATTGCAAAAATTATTATTAAATTATTAAAATTATTATTAAGGCAACAAATGAACATGGCATAAGCAAATATGATCCGTTGCCAATTACTTTTATTTTTGATTGATACGTTTTTAGTGAAAAAGACCCTGAAGGAAATTGTTTGTTTGTCAGTTTCTAACTTTTTTGTCTTGTTTAGAAATTCTTTTATATATTTATATAGGAACAGGATCTTTTTGATATTAAGGATGTGTGCGAGTTAGGCTAAGTTGCGTTCTAAATGAGTGAAATTCTAAGTTGTACCGATACGTGTTGATAAATGGCTAAATGTATGCAGTGCAAAAAATCCCAAGAAATCTTTCATTTGGTTTAGTATCAATTTAGCCTAACTCGCACACGTCCTAAATATGATAATTTCAACTGCATGGTTTGACCAAACGCACCTATTTTATTTGTTCAGAATTAATTCTTTATAATTCATTTACATTATTGTATTATTTACAGAATAATTTCAAAATATTTTAGTTAAATGATCAATTGAGTTTTGAACAAAATCAAATATACATATATTGAGACCACGACTTCAAATCGAAAAAGCGATGTGTTTGTCTAAGTGAAGACTGGGACCGATCCAAAAAGAGTTTATATTCGTTTAGTTGCCTTGCGGTGCAATAACTAAGGCTTTAATGAAGGAGAATTGAAAGTTCAAAAACTGTTTTAATTTATAAATATAGAAGTTTTTTTTTATTAAATAAATTTATTAAACTAAACTATGAATAAAATGATTTTAATCATGGTCAAACACCAGTTTATATAACAAATACCTACATATATAAATAATATTCGCTTGGAACTTAACTGAACTGATATATTTTTTAGTTGAACTGGAAGGGAAAAAATGCAGATTTAGAGTTATGATAGTTCAAATTTAGGTTGTACACACATATTTAAGGACTTCATTTTAACTCTCCATCCTAACTTTAATTTCCGAATCGCATATCTGATTAATAAATAGCTTGAAAAGTTCAGAATAAATTGATAGGCAATTCTGCTGATTAAATGATACTGACAATCAATATCATTGAAGAGAAATTTCCATTTTAAAAGAGAAACTAATCGATTTTATTCTCAAACTTGATTATAGATAATTCTTCTGTATAGAAATGGTCTATACCGTACATAAATACGCTATAGCTTTTTTTTATAGATATGGAATATAACAAAGTTCAAAAAACAATTGGACTGCACCATTTGTCAAATATTAAGAAGTCTCATATGGAGTAAATTGTATTGTGATTAACTGCGCCAGTATAAACGTTAGCTTATGCCTCACGTAACAAACAGATCTGGCAAGAACCAATTAGACTCCAACTTGTTTCCGAAAATAATCGAGCCAATGTGTAAATCTCATTAAATTTGTATAAATACACTTGCTAACATCGTTTCCTAATGGATTTTGCACGATGTTGGGAATCTATGGTGGAGAAGACCAGAAAACATAGGGGAGGATTATAAGTAATATAGCATAAAACGTATACGAATTTTGTTTATTCTTTGCGATAAGTATGTCAGGGCCATGGCGTATTTTACTTTTAAAATTTATTGAAATAATCCTGTTATTTCATATATGATATTAAATTGTTTGGTTTAAACTTACACTTAAATTACGTAATCTCATTAGCACATTTTGTATAGTTTTTGTATAAAAAGGAGCACTTGTTGTACAAGTATGTTGTCGTTGATATACTGCAATATTTAGCGCATAAGTTCATATATCTTAACAACTATCTACATCGTTAATTTTAACTATCTACATCGTTAATTATAATTTTATATGGATTTGATATGAAAAATGTCGCTTAATGTTGTACAATAAGATCATAACATAAAATATAACTTCAAATTGAAATCATATTAAAATAATTAAAAACGAACAAGTTGTGATTTTCTACACATTCAACTTAAAGATTTTGAAAATGTAGGGGATATGAACTTTATTCAGAAATACGCATATACATTATTTATCAATAATGTTTAAAAATTCTTAATACATAATAAATCTTTGTATATAATTCCCTTAATCAGCTAAAAAAAGCGTTAATCCAATTCTATTCGATTTTCCATAAATACATGACCAGTATGCATTTTTGATTCCTTTATTTTGTCAAGTGAGCGCATTAAATCATTCATGTCTATAACCAACATATTATGAATTTGGTAAGCGTTTCGCTCTCTCGTTCCACTGGAACTTGTTTCTGCTTCTGCTTCTGCTTCAGTGTCAGTTACCCGCGATTCTTCATCGGTAAAACGTACATATTCACGCATTCGATACACTGATGCATTGCGGCACATTTCCCGTAAATCAGATCCGGAGAAACCACCAGTCAATTTAGCTAAACGTTGATAATCCACATCCGCATTTACCTGTTCAGATTCTAGTATTAGTTTTAAGATTTGAACACGTTGCTCTTCTTTTGGTAAGCCGATATGAAATTGTGCTGGCATCCGACGCATAATTGCTTTATCCAAATCTTGAGGTCTATTAGTTGCGCCCATTATGATTACGGTTGAATTTGAATTTGTGCTTAAACCATCCCAAAGCATCATAAATTGTGTTTTCATCATAGCAGTTGCTTCGTGATCATTGGTATTTCGACTCCGTAAAAAAGAATCAATTTCGTCTATAAAAATAATGCATGGCTGAATTTTTGATGCCAGCGAAAATACAGCTGATGCAAGCTTTTGTGATTCACCATACCATTTATCAGTTAAAATAGCTACATCCAGATTAATAAAACGCATACCAGCTTCCTTGGCGGTAGCTTTAGCAATTAAAGTTTTTCCACAACCAGGTGGTCCGTGCAGTAAAACACCTTTAGGCGCTTGCCAAAGTTTGGACTGATTCAAGAGACTCCTATGGCGTACTGGCAATACAACTGTTTCTCGCAACTCATTTATCACACTATCTAAACCAGCAATATCACTCCAGCTAACTGGTATATCGGAAGGCACTACAAGATGTGATGCAATCATCAGCTCATAGTCGTTAAACTGTTGTGCGTTCACTTTAAAGCCACTCTGAGCGCTCAACCTAAAAGTGTTAATGTTAATAAATGTGATTAACATCTCAGTGATTAATGTGGGATCTTACCTCCTTAACTGGTCTTCAGCACGCTGTCTAGCTTTCTTTTTACTTTTACTTGTGGGATCTAATTGGTTCATCATCCATTTTACTGAATAGAATGTTATTACAGATGCTATTGAAACTCGTAAAAGCAGCTGAAAAATCTCACTACGTGACATCTGATTTCCAAAATTAAAATTATTCATTGTTGGTTTTTTTCTATTATTTCTATTCTTTTATTCTACTTAAAAAACTAGGCTTACTACGTTCTATGCTTTTAATTTAAAAAAAAATTTTAATACAGTGGCAATTCAGTATTGTTAAAAAATATAATCACTTTCGAATGAAACTATAACTTTTGAACCTTCACACTTAGAATTTCGTAAAAGTTCTGTCGGTTACGTTGAAATGTGTGTAGTAAATTACGTTACGGAATCAATTTGACAAATCCCCTTTTTATATTGTTTTATACATAAATACAATATAATTCCGTAAACTACACTATGAGTCGATAGTGAATCGATTATAGCCATTCGCCGTGTTAAACTTTAAACTAGTGATGTAACTTGTTATTCTTTTTGCACATGCACTTTAAAGGCGTTGCCAGACCATTAATTTTTGGTCTTCTTCTTTTGTTTATAGTGCGGACACACTTATGGCATTTTCGATTGTTATAGTCGTGTGCGAGTTCTCAAGTAAATTGAGGTAAAGTACAGTGGTCGTCCAGTATAACGAACGCTCGATATTACGAATTTTCGATATAACGAACACCCAAAATATTTACATTGATTGTTCTATATAACGAACGAAAAAAAAAATTCTGCTCCATATTACGAACAAAAAATTTTTTGTTTCTTATTCGTTTTTGTTTTATACAAATTATGCTTTTGAATATAATTTTACTATAAAACTAGCATTATTCAGCTTAGAATATGCATGTAATTGTCCGTTTTTTTTTTTTCTGAGAAAAATGCCTATATATGGCAAAATGCATATATGCAGGCGCCACTGATCTGTTGTTCACAAATTCAGTTTATCATATACGAAATACTATCCAGACATATATATGTACATATTAAGGTGTTTATATTTAATATGTATTTGTTTGAAAATATCATTTAAAAATTAATTTTGACAAAGCCGGACGTTTAAATCGTTGTGAATTAAATTTTAGTTTTTAAAAAGCTGTTCAGAAAAGTCTTGAGTGTAGTAAAAAACAAACAAAAATTAATGATTTTTTTACTCTACACTATGATTGAATGCGTCCTTTCTTATAAATAATTTTTGTAACAACCGAATAAAAAATACTTTTAAATAAATATATACTCGTACGTGTTTATAAGTTAATTTATGAATTCAAATATATGAAAGCTCCTAAAAATAACCATATTGGTAGGTAAATGTATAACATTCGATATTACGAATTTTTCGATATAACGAACAAGGGGTGCAACATAAAATTCGTTATATTGGACGTCCACTGTATATTGAAATTACTTTACCTGCACTGCACTTATGTAAATATTTATTTATTTATTTTTTAATTGCACTTATTTATTATGTTTAGTTAAAAGTTTTTATAAATTTATTTATATATTTATTAAACATCTTATAAAATTTTCACAATGGTAATATATAATTAATCTAATTCACCCTACGAAATTCTGGTAAATACCAACATTCGCTGCCATACCGACATAATTTACTGTTTCCTCTCACACGGCTTAAAATCGAATTCAATCTAAGGACGTGTGCGAGTTAGGCTAAGTTGCGTTCTAAATAAGGGAAATTCTAAGATGAGCCGATAATGTAGTGATGTGTCGATACGTGTTGATAAATGGCTAAATGTGTGCAGTGCAAAAAATCCCAAAAAATCTCCCATTTGGTTTAGCATCAACTTAGCCTAACTCGCACACGACCTTAATATACTCACGTTCTGTAAAATTTTGTTGCCCAATGAAAAGTTTTCAGAGTAATCTAACATTTTTGTAGTTGTGGCATTTATATTTTTTGCTTCATATATAATCGAATCAAATCGCACTTTATTTGTCAAATCATATAAAACAGCTATTAACTTCAGGGTAATTTTGCTACTCTGACAAAATATTTAGAGTGTTATAAATTAATCTCAAGTGTTATACATTTCGCTCGAGATTTGCTAATTAAAAATGAAAATTGCACTAAAAGTAAATCTCAATTGACAAACTTACCACATATTTACCAATCAAAAACGACATTAATAATTCGATAGAACTTGACATTGCAAAATAGCAGCTGGGCTTGGGCTATGAATGATCATTTCAAAAATACCCTGACAAATGGTTCTTAGTAAATTTAAAAATCAGCTGTATGGTAATTATATGTTTTCGTATATTGATATTAGCTCTTAATTATTAGAGGCAAACCGTTTCTGTTTACGTCGACACATAGTTTTTTCAATGAAATTGAAACGTTTAATTAAGGCCGTGTGCGAGTTCAAGAAAATTGATAGTAAATGAAGGGAAGCAGTAAATTATGTTGGTATGGCAGCGGATGTTGGTATTTACTAGAACTTCAAGTAGGGTAAATTAGGTGTTACCGTCGTGAAAATTTTATAAGATGTTTAATAAATAAATTTGAAAACTTTTAACCAAAAATAATAAGTGCAATAAATAAATAAATAAATATTTACATAAGTGCAGTGCAGGTAAAGTAATTTCAATTTACTTTACCTCAATTTACTCGAACTCGCACATGGCCTAAAACATTTACTTAAGTTATAGTTAAATAAATAATGTATTTTTTAAAGACGAAATAAATAATACAAATCTCAAACCATACAGTTACATTTATTAAGTAATATTATAAACAAAAAATAATATTGTAATATCTAACTCTACCACTATTGAAACGTTGATGAGCAAGAAATTGTATATTATTGTGGTTATTTAAAGACGATAAAAAATAATACAAATAATTTATACTTCCGTCTGTCAATGCTATAATATTTACTTATTATGTGCATAATAAATGTACATTGCTTATCGTATGTTATATTATAAAGACAAATGTCTATATAATATAACATATATATAGCGTATAATTGGTAATAAGTATAGGTGTAATTGTACTTCAAAGGAACCTACTAGTATCCTGTTCCGCTTGATTTTTAAAGTCCTTTACGATGTTCTTCTCGATAATCATCTTACCTTAAGTGAAACTGCCCGGCTCTCTCGAGAACTCGACAAAAATACTTGGGGGCTGTTAGTTTTATAGGACTGGAGCACATTTTTGAGATTTCTGTTGAAATCCTAATAAAATTCGCTAATAACACGCGCATCCTCTGTGATAAGCATTATCGCTAAAAAAATTAAACTCTAAACTAGTATCGCAATGAATCTTAATGGTCTGTGCGTCACCTTTCAGATCTGCCAGCATAACCTAACCTAACCTAATCTCAGTGGAATGTGATACTATGCGAGGCACCCAGTTGAAAGATCAGAACAATCTTCTGAAAGTGCTTGAAGACGGATTTTGTGAAAGGGATACACTGATTCTATTAAATATAAAGCAAATAGAACAATCTATAACGGTTTTTGTTGTATTCGCATGGATCCTGCAAATGTATGAGGTGTATTCGAATAATTTTTAGCCAAGCCATGTTTGACTTGGCAGCCAACTTCAAGCTAAATGAGCTGCTGTAATAACAAGAGATGTAGTTATGCGAACGAAAGCCATTTTAGCTTTAACTCAATAACGACATCCGAGAATCGAAGGACGAAAAAGGACCCATATCGTTTCGTGGTCTAGTTCGGCTAATCCTTCACTTCAGTGGGGTCACTTTATGGACGGTGTACTGTTCCAACGTCCCACAATATATATACTCATACCAAAAAGAATCACATCGAATTTCACCAAAGTCTATGTGAAATCTTGTAAAAGAAGACAAACAATCTGTTCCTGTTTACGTTCAGATGATGAAGGGGTGTATTAACGAAGCGACTGAATATTTACTGCAATTCCTTTCTGTGTAAAACCTCAACTCTTCTCTCTCTATGCGAATAACGAACGAACATCTTTTAGGAAGAAACAGGATTTTACATCTGGCAGAAAGTTTCCTGGTCCAAATTACAAGAACGTAAGTACGCAACTCGCTCGCTTTTTCTAGCTTTACGAAATGAGAGACCAAAGGTGAGAGAGAATGTGTCACGCATCACCGCATAAGACGCAAGGATGCAATCATTTTACTTCTTCCTTAATTGATTTGTAGTTTTATGTATTGTAGCAATAAATTAGGATTTTTAACGGTTTTGTCCTTTTAATCTTGTCCTTGAAATTTTATGAAATATATCATTATCATTAACATGTTATCTTAAATGATGATTTAAGATAACTGAAACTTCCAAATTTTTCATTTGTTAAAAGTATTACTAGATATCTAAGATAGTTGTAATATTAATGGAATAAAAAAAAAAAAAAAAAAAAAAAAAAAAAAAATCTTGTCCTCGCAATTGGAGAACAAATATATGTTTTGACCTTTTAAATGATGCAAAAGTTATTTTGTGGCTAGAGTGGAGGAGCAAACAATTGAATTAAAATTGAAAACTTGCTTCGTTCCAATAAAATACTTTTTTACTTTTCTTATAAATAATGTTTTTTATTTAATACTTAATTATATTAAAAGTTTTTATTGTTTATTGTTCCATTTTTATTTTGTTATGAGTGGAACATAATAATTCGCATTAGGTTTACTTGGTGTTAATGAGATTTTCGTTTTAAAATTAAGCAAAAAAAAACTTAAGTAAGATTTTAAGAAAAAAAACAAAGTTAAGTAAAAATTTGTAAATAAAAAATGTTCATAAGTTAATTTTTAAGATATTTGTTTTTAAGTTGTGCATTTTCCATCAACGCCTTATAGCCTGTTGTTTTTTATGCCAACTGTATTTATACTGATGATAGTGTAGTAGGTGGATTTAGTTAGGCGGTTGCAATACCCAGGGCAATGCCGCCAACAAACGCAGTCAAAAATATGTGTAGATCATTGACTTTTGGGCCATTCTCGTCACCAATAAGTTTGCTATACCATTTACGTGCCTTCTTTGCTTTACCCTTCAACATGTCCTCAGCATGATCTATTTTACGATCGACGAACCGTTCAGTCTGAAAATCAATAAAATTTTATACATTAAATATTGTAAATAAATAAACAAAATAACAAAAAAAACAAAAAAAAAAAAAAACTATTCTTAGGAAAAACAGTCATATTTAAAGATTAATATCAATAATTAGTACATTTATAGAAAGGTCTTCTACTCATAGGTGACAATAAAATTTGCTTGTTAATGTATGTATACTTGGGTGTAGTTGAAGTCAAATATATATATAAGAATCTTCCAAAATTTCTTGTGGATGCTTAAGAATATATCAAATGTCCAAATGGGTTCAACTGCCTTAAAAAGCCTTGACAAATTTTTTTTTAATTGGCTGAAGATTATTAAATGTCAGTTAGGGGCAGGCAGGGCAAGCAGTAACTAATTAAATCAATAATTAAATAATTTGCAAACAACAAAAATAAAACAATTCATTTAATTACTAATTGAAAATATATACGTTTTATTTAGTATTTTGACATTTTAAAAATGCAAGCATTATAAAAATATTTAACTAATGTTTTGCTCCTTTTTTTTAATCAGCCAAATAGGGCAACTAATACCGATTCAAGTGAAATCCCGTGTCATGGTATAAATTATATGAATTGTGAAACATATTGTAACTTTTGCGTGGAGACGGTCAGGTCAATATATTTATGCGCAGGCAATACCAAGAAATGTGCCACCAATGAACGAAACAAACAAAAGTGGGTGTTTCAGTACAGCACGTCTGCCCTGAGTAAATATAAAGATGCTTGAGGTTAATGCATTTAAGGATTTATAAAGTATAAACTTCAATAAAACTTTTAATAAGAATAAATAATATCATATATGTACATACAATGGGATAAGGATAAAATTGCATCTTAATTGAAAGATTATTATTAATAGATTAGAGTGTTAGTTTGAATATAAGGAAATTGTAAGCGATTCTGCCAGAATTGCATGCTAACGAGGCTCAACTCCAAAATGTTCACAAAAAATTAAATGGAATGTGAAAGCCATAGGAGCGCAGGTGAGAACTATTTTAAAACCAATAAATTCAGCGTACAAGTAATGAAAAAATTTTAAAATACAATATAATTAATATATATTCAATATACTTCTAAACACAACATAGGTATCAGTAGTGTGTACAATGGCAGATATTTATTACTTATGCCGTTTTCGATTAATAAATCTGGCATAAACTGTTTCAATCTAGATACACTTTTATCATTTACTATTGAAAAATTTCGAGCGAAATGTATAACACTTGAGATTAAATTATAACACTCTAGATATTTTGTTGGAGTAGCAAAATTACCCTGAGATTAACAGCTGTTTTATTCATTATTCATGAGAAATTTAAATGCCCAGTACTAATGCATTTACAAAAATGTTAAATGTGGTCTAGAAACATTCCATTAGGCAACAAAAATTGACAGATCGAGTGTAAATATGAATGAAAATTGCATCCAGATTTGCCAATCGAAATCGCCATTAGTTTAGTCCTATTCCATTCCATTTGTTAGGTATTTCCAGCGATTAATTCAATATGGTTCCAAGAACGGCCGGGTCTACGTCCCGGAGCCACTCGTCAAAGACGACAAAGAGCCGTTCGACCACCCCCAAAGGGACTTCACAAGCAGGTCCCGGCGGGTTACAACAACAACATTAATTCAATATCTTTTAATACCTACGAGATATCACCTACATTTTACTATAAGCACATTTTTTTTTTGATATAAAGTAAAGAACAATCAAATATCATTATATTAGAAGTGCATTTATTAGCCACCTTTCTTCATGCAATGTTATTGTTGTTATTGTAACCCAAAGGTTCTGCTTGCGTAGTTCATTTTGGGTGTGGCGAACGGTTCAAACGGTCGTTCTTGTATTCCTACAAAGCGAATACTAAATCAACTTAAAAAATATATTCGAAAAAATTTTTTAAAGTTATCAAAACCCAGTTCTTGATATAATCATAAATGAGATTATAAAGGTTGAGAAATACCTGAATATAAATTGATACTTCCAAAAAGCATATCAATTTATTAACATTTAGGGAAATATAAAATATGAAATCGTTTTTCATAGATTAGTTCAATCTCTACTTCTGTTTCTTTTGTTCTCTTTTAAACACTATTAAAAATAATACGGTAATATATGGTATATATGGAATATATGGTACATATAAAATTCTCAACTGAAAATCAAAATTTTGTTAAAAACTAATTTAATTAAAAGAAATAGAAACAATCAACTATTTCTTTATGAAAATCTTTTATGTTATATTGTTAATGTTGTAACTCAGTAGAGACTCAACCCATCTACTAGGCATAGAAGTGAATTAATTTGAGTTGAAGACCTCACCAATTTTAACACCTCGTTGTTTTATTAAATAAACAGATTAATTAATGCACAATTAACATATGAGAATAACCACTTTGAACATATTTATCTACAAAATTATGTCTTAAGAAGTAGTTCTTGTGACCTAACTGAAAATGATCTGCTGTAATCCATTTCATTAAGAAATGACACTTAACAATAACAAATAATATATTAAAAATATTTCTGAAAACGGTTTTACGATGAATTTTGTTGTTACGTTACTCTTTTTTAATTGAAATTAACTATATCACTATATAGACTAATTTGTGAGATCACCGACTTCTCTATTCCCTTAAATGGATGCAATGACTAAATGGGCATAAAAAGTATACAACACAAATGTCAGAGAGATGTTGAGAGATGAAGCATGAAACAATGTGCACATATAGGATTGGGTGTGCCTTAATTTTATACAGATATATATTAGTATTTGGATTTTACATTAAAAATGTTTATGATAAAATATTAAAGCAGTAACTATATATTTATAACTTTCTGGGTAAAGATCTTATGATATAAGTTTTATATGTTAAATTCGATAGCCCTATACTTTGTTTCAGAAACGCCCTTTAATCAGTTAAAGAATACGTCCTACATAAGTATCATTCTCGACAAAGTACACTTTCAAATATTTTGAATTGAAAGTTTAAAATTTGAATAAGAAACTGTATAGCTAGCTGGTTGCTTAAGCAATACATTTGTTAACATATATATATTATTTTATTTATTTACATATGATATGTAATTTACCTTGTCAATCCAACTCTTGTCTTTTCCTGTAACAGCAGTTTCGACCTTGTCAGTAACATTATCAATCTTTTTAGTGACCTTGGACCAATCAATTTGGATATAACCTTCTTGATGTGCTACCTCCAATAGTATTATACCGCCACCAATAGCGAAAGCAGCAAATTTGCCAACCTTCATGGTAGCAAAACCAGTAACCCTGAAATAAAACACAATTAATTTTTAATAACTTCGTTTAATTTATTAATTTACGCTCAGTGTTTAAAAAATTTTAAATTCTTATTATTATAAATAGTTATTATAAATATATTAATACTTATTAATACTATTCCACACATTTACAGAACTTATCTTAGTTAATATTTCAATATTAATAACATAATGCAGATATTTTTGTAGGCTGGTGTTCTGTTTCTATGTTATTGTAATCCTCATGGATCTGTAAGCAGAACCATACACGACAAATACATATGTTAAGATATAAATGGTCAATACCAATGTGAATGGTATTGTGTGTATTGAGTATTGTCTTTCTAAAGGCATTGTAAATTCATTTAATTGAAAACTATTGTGTATATATGCATAATAAACATTTGAAAACGGGTTTAAGCAGATTTTTATACTCCGAACAACTTTTTTCAATGTCAATTTATAATATACACTTTACCAAAACTAAATAGTTGGGCGCCAAGAAAATCGAAAAAGTGCTGTTACTAAAATCGCATAATACGAGTCTGCTTTTTAAATTAATACAAAAACAAAATCGCAGCTATTCTTTCGGAACGGCAGACTGTAGTTAGAGACCAAACATCAGCGCCCATAAATCTCGCCGATGTTTCACCGTTCGCAAATAAGTGTTATAGTATTTTTTAAAAAAAGGAAAGTAACAAATATACTAGGTTTGATTAGCTTACACCCGCGATTATAAGGTGGATCCTCATATATATTGGCCCATTGTGTTACCCTATAAGAAAACTGGAAGGGAACAAATAGCCTATGCCAACAACAGGAATAATAATTGTTTTTTTTTGTATTAAAAATATGTCCATTTCGGATTTGTCAAAGTTAAAATTCATAAAGCGGACTAATTGTATAGCTATATTAATACGTTCACAACACATAATATTCTATTATATTACATGTAATATAATAAATATATAAAATATATAAAATATATAAAATAATATAAATATTATATATAATATAATATAAATATTATATATAATATAATATAAATATTATATATAATATAATATAAATATTATATATAAATAACATATATATTATATATATAATATAATATAAACATTATATATAATATAATAACAATATTATATAATATAATATATAATATAATATAAATATTATATATAATATAATATATAATATAATATAAATATTATATATATAATATAATATATAAATATTATATATAATATATATATATTAATATAAATATTATATATAATATAATATAAATATATATATATAATATAATATAATAATATAAATATTATATATAATATAATATAAATATTATATATAATATAATATAAATATTATATATAATATAATATAAATATTATATATAATATAATATATAATATAATATAAATATTATATATAATATAATATTTAAGGATCTGCTTGTGTAGTTTCTTTTGGGACTGCTAGACGATATTGGCGTGTCTCCGACACGTAGACTCTGTCGTCCTTAGAACCATTATTGCACATAGATACGCTCAAGCGTGGTGTAGGGATTTTAGGAGTTTATGAGGACTACAACAATAACATATGTAGTAATTGTTAAATATGTATAATTCAATACGCATTGTATTAATATTTTTACAACTTTGATATGAAAAAATTTGTTAAGGCCATTGTTTTAAACATTCACAAACTACAGCAAAAAAAAAAAAAAAAAAAAACAAACACATTCACATTTTCTGAAACATACACATATGTGCATGCACATACATGCTTGTTAGTTACAGTTTCGATGTAAACAAATTTTGTTTATAAATGTGACGCAATAATGCGACAACACCTGAACTACCGGCGCGACATGTCTGCCGAATGCTACGATTTGTCAAAAGTTGTCACAAACACGAATTTCTCAGTTTAGTTTTCTTTAAATTACGTCATCTTGAAAACACACAGTTTTTTTGTCAAATTATGAAATATTTTCATTATATAAGTAGTCGAAAAGAAGCGCCCAGTCATCATAAAGAATAGATGCTATTTGTCATTACTTACCAACCAGTCGTAGCGCCTATCAATATTTGAGAATAAGCCGAACGGGATGAGATGTCACCGAGTACTCCTCCTAAGAACTTGGAAGCGTCAGACATCTTTTCAATTTTGTTATTTTTCCGTTCCTTACGCGTCTTTGACCAATCGCTCATTACTGAGATTATCGGCCTAAAAGTTGAACTATTTGACAGAGTTTTTCTAGAACGTAATAAATTTTGACTATTTTATTTCAACAGTAAATTTTAATCTTTAAGAAACTATAATAATCATTTTGACATAAAAATCAACTGTACCTAGAACTTCTTTTCACCAAAGATGCTTGCACCAATTTCAAATCGCGCTTTAGCTCCACTAATAGCGCAAAATTTCCAACTGCAGTCTGCTTGTGATGTAGGATAGAATAAAATAAATCCTCAACCTACACTGTGTATCGATAAATTTCACTGACAGTTCAGGTTTGATATTTCTTGTGTTGCCATATTGTTTGCTTTTGAAATCATTTATTCGTTGCATTTTACAACGTTTATCCTGCGTCTACACTGATTAGATTCCAGTAAGATTTTTGCATAAACAGGCTTTGCATTTGTTTAGTAATCATGCAAATATTATTCAAAGACAAAATTTAAAAACAATTCACATTAGCATTCAAACATAAAAATATATTTTACAATTATTAAAGATTATGTTGTGCGAGTTCGATTAAATAGAGGTAAAGTAAGCTGAAATTTCTTAAGGATTTTTTGCACTGCATTTATGTAAATATATATATATATATTTGTTTATTGCACTTATATATTATTTTTGGTTAAACTTTTTCAAATTTATTTATTTATTTATTAAACATCTTATAAAATGTTTATAATGGTAACAACTAATTTACCTAATTTTCATCTAATTTACTCTACTCGAAATTCTGGTAAATACCAACATTCGCTATCATACCGACATAATTTACTATTTCCATCAATTTACTCAAACTCAAACACGGCTGCAATAACAGTATAGGCAGACCTGACATTAAGTTGGATGGAAATCAAAATATTTCGATTTTTGTCGGCTAACATGCAAAACTTCATTCTATTTTAAGGAATGAAAGTGCAAACATCACTTAAATGCACGCATGATTTTATTTTATAGTATATTTGTTGTATTTTTTTTTTATTGCTGAACAGTGTTAAAATAATGTCGGCAGTGCATAATGTCATAATAGGAAGCCACTTCGTACCAAGTTGTAGCACCAAGTATGATGTATAATTCCCGCTTTAGATACATTCCAAATAACTTGGTAATTCAATAAAATGGTTTGTAAATATGTTTTTGTGAAATTACACAACTTCACAACTCGCACTACGGAGTTAATTTCTTAAGCATAGTACTAACATCCATTCACACGAAAAATTGACATATAATAAAAATCGGCATTTTGTAGAGCATTTTTTAATATATTATTTTATGTTACTTTTTTGTGCCAAATGGATGTTTCAAGTAATTTGAACTTGAAAAAAATTAAAAGAATCAAGTTTAAAATTTAATAGTAAATAAATTGAATTTTATATTATCCGTTATTGATGAACTTTTCAAATAAAACTCTTTCAATACAAAACTTCATGTTAGAACTTCAAATCAAGTAAGCTTTGGGTAGGCTTTGGGTTGATTGGTTAATTACTACTGATTTTGCGTTTCACATTCGGCAGGGCAAACCAAAAAAAAGTTATTTACGAATAATTAAATATAAAAAATAATTCCAAAAAATCACTAATAATGATTATTTCCCAATACTCAACACAGCCATGATTTGTTGGTGTAATTCACCACTGTTATAGAGTATGTAAACAAAGTAATACATTCAAAAGCCAGTATGAAACACACTGCTTAAACGCAAATTATGTGTGCACACCTGAGAACTTAACACTCAAAGTACACTCATAAAAAACCGAATCTAAATGTATATATGTAAATGTCTTATATGGCGTTTATATTGGCCGAAAATGGCTCATTTTGAATGACTCATTTGAAAGTGTTTACATTCGTTGTAATTCGTTTGTTTTCATTTTAAACAGCTGATTTTTCAACTTGCTTGTTGATTTTATTTTTGGTCTGTGCCAAAAAAAATATTGCATGAAGGTTAAATATGCTTTCAAACCTTACAATATAAACTTAAAACATATTTTTAACTTCCATTAATTACCTTTTGGGAAGTAGAAGTTCTAAAAAGAGGTGCATCGTGTTCAAGAAAATGCAACCACCAAACATTTGTTTACCTTTTTTTGTAAATATGTCAAAAACAGCTTTCTCAAACTGTCAAAATGCCATGAAAAGCTTTTATTTAGGATATCTTCAATGGATTCCTTTGCATTTGGAACATATGTGGAATGCATTCGAACGTCTTTCATACAGAATGTGAGAAAATTGCTCATTTTTGCGCTTGAAATTTTATATGCAAGAATGAGTCATTCGATACTCATTTTTGACCAAAATGAGCCATTTTCGGCCAATGTAAACGCCATATTACTCACATACTACTATGCCTATAGCATTCACATTCACCACAGAAATGATTTATAAGTGTTTTAGTTAACGAATGCCTGTGCTAATAAATCAGCTTCACAAGAATGCGTACACTTTTCTGAGTAGAGTGGCTAAATGGTTAATGATTCATGAATCATAGCATATACTCAGGTGAGTATGAGTTTACTCATCGAAAATTAATGACTCGAATGACTTGTTGCTTGTGAAGCAAAAAATTTGCGTGTGTTTAGTTTCATGCTTTTGGTGGCTGTTGTTGTTGTTAGCACGTTTACCATTTCTGCTACTACTTCGCTTTCTGCATAGCAAATAACTCTGTTTCAAGAAGCAGTTGCGATTAAGCAACGAAGTTCGAAAGGTGCCTATCTAGACCGGGACGCCTGCTTATCGTTTGCTGAAATGACAAGACTGCTACCTGAAACCAGTTTTCAAGTCACACATTAAACTCCATCACAACAAAAAATTAGTTGATAAACTAAGGATCGCTTCCATAAAACCGTTCTAATTTGGTAAATATTAATCGAAGCAATCAGAGGGTGTCGGAGGTAAGGAGCTTCGGTGACACAATAATAGAAGAGGAATTAGCCCTCAATTGAAGTCACACTGCACTATTTTGTTAGCACCCTAGCCCCTATCACCACAAAAAAATTATTTTATATGTATTCCTGGGTATAGAAGACCATAAAATCAATATCTGGGACTAAAACGTAAATAAGATAAGTACAACTTTTTAGAAACACATCTTTTAAGCTAGGCAGCACCACCAGAAATGTCCTATTATGCTGTTAGCGAAAATGAAGAGCCCCGTGTGATAGTGGGATAAGAATACCATATCAGTAGTCCTCTACTCGTCGACTAAAAGAGAAAACTCACAGGTCAAAGTTAAGTATCTATGATTTGTGGTAAACCGTGGGCGCGTATAGGTCAAAAAACTTGCTAAGATTCCTAATAAGCCGATCCCTATGCTAGCCGTCTAAGTCTGGACTCCAGAGAGTTAGATGGGTGTTTACGCATATCTGCTCAGGTCCTGCTAAGTTGACCAGCCTTCGGGAAGTACAACTATCTATCAGGTCAACTGAGAAGTGATAAGTGCGGTCATGTCGCTGCTTATCACTTGATGCAGATAGTCGGGCGGAAATGTAGAACATCACCCTTTTGAGTGAGTGGAATGTGCGTATTAGAAATAAAGCCCTACAAACTAAGGTGAAACACCTTAACCTTTAGCTTGGCTGTTGGGGTAGAAGAAGTCTTAGTATCGAACTCAGGATACCTGCTAACCTCCTGTTTTAAATAGCCTGGCATGCGAAGCTCTCCGCAGGTGGACATATTTCTCTTCGCTACTCGTGGGAATTAAATGGTCACTAATGAAATTTTGAAAAACTCTAACCGAGGCGAAATGTTTGACGCTAATAAGGTCAACAATGAGGCTTCACAGGCCGAAATGATATTCTTAGCTGCAAAAGATAGCCATTAATCACAACGGTAAAAAACGTGACAATGACTGACCTCGACTTAGCCGAGCGGATTTGTCTGAATAAGTGGTAGAAGCAGAAACGAAAAAGAAAAAGGCAAAAGGCTGAAAAAGCAACACCATCAGTTGAACAACTAGCCGAACGTATAAGTGAAGTATCGCATGTGGAGTCCTCACTAGAGGCCGAACTGCTAGTAAAATGGCATAAGGGTGGTGCCCGGAAGCTCCGACAGCTAGTTCGACTACTTCAACTGGAACCACAGGCCATAACTCTGATGGTGGACAACCAGTGAAGGATGATAGTGAAGCTGAATCGGCGGCGAAAGACCCAACCAAAACGCAAGTTGGACTACCCAACCGGGCACGTAATCGACCCGCATTGGTTGGCAAAAGGACTGTTGATCAGCGCGGTGGACAGTCTTTAACGGCTGATAACCAAAGGATGACACAAACTGGACCTAGGGTTGGGAAAGGCGTATAGCTCACACATGGTGTCTAACTAATCAAATCAAAGCGTAGAGGTCAGAAGGTTGGAGTCAACCAAAGTGGACAACCAGCAATAGTTGTTAACTAAGTGGGGTCTTAGTTAGGATGGCGGATTAACTGCCAAGCATCAGTAAGACTGCAAACAATCAGAACTGTGGCAAGGTTGGGGACAACCAAGGTGCAAACTAAAAAAAAAAGAACTCTAACAAGCGGGCAGTAGAAAACACAAACTATGGCCCTGCCCATTAGAGGTCCTGCGCCCAGGCAGCTAGGACGAATCTCAATATATGTATCATCGATTCAAAAGTCGAAGAACTTTTTGGCGAAAAACACTTAGTTGCTTTCAAAACATCTTTGTTAAACGCCCTGGAGTCCCTAGATGACGAAATAGGTGGCATAGGGTTTTTCAGCAACACTCGCTTTGAGAATTGTTAGATTAAGTGTGAAAACTAGCAATCTAAGGCACGATTAATCAGCAAGGGTAGCTTAGCTGGAAGGTCTTTGGTCAGTAGCTAATCTGACGGCTGGCACACTAACAGCGTTGCGCAATGAGAGGAAAATATTCCTCCTTTTATACGACTTTACTGAAGGCAAAAAAATTATTCTCAGCAGACTGCAGAAGCAAAACGGCTGAGTGAAAGACACTTCGAAATGGAGGATCACTAACTTCTGAAAGTTTGGCTGGCGTCATGCTCACAGTATGGTGGCGTAAAGAAGAGGCTAAGGTGATTAAGACTGCAGAGAGCAGATTTAACTGTGGTCAAAATCAGCCCAAAAGAATGCACGGTGAACATGACAATGGGTCTGTCTAGATCATTAAGGTGGTTGGTGGGCCCATACTAGAAAACAATAAAGGTGGAATAACTCAATATTCATAACAAAAAAGCGGCATCAGAAATGATTCTGCAACACTTTGACGTAAAAAAGTTAG